TCAGGACGGTGTCCCGTGCGCATGCTCGACCGCTGTCCTGGCCTCGGCAGGGCTCGAGTCCCAGCTGGAGACGGAGCACGAGGAGCGCACGGCGCTGGTGCGCGAGAAGCACGAGCTGGAGCGACGCATCATCGCGCTCAACGAGCACACCATCAGTCAGGACGACCAGGAGGCCATCCTCAAGCTGAAGCGGGACCTCAAGCGCACGCGCGCCCTGCTCAAGGACACGCAGGCGCAGCTGGAGAAGGCCCGCTCCGAGGCGTCCAGCAAAGTGCAGATCCGACAGCTGAAGAACCAGGTGCGTGCTCTAAGGGGACTCGTGTGGATTTATTATAGGAGCAGACAATAGGCGTGCACAGCATGGCCATTTCGTTCGAGTATTGCCACGAGCGTGAATTGGACTGAAGCTTAATGTAGAACCAGCTCATCAGCGTTTGATCCAGCTTATGACGGTTGGCGAAGAAATCGTGCCGCCGCTTCTGTGGTGTTCATTGCGGTATGATTTTGAAGTTCGTCTGCATCCAAGTTTGGTCACATTTCTGATGGTCGTTTTGCTCATGACAGTTCACGAGCGTGGGCGTGTGGCTTCTGTTCCTGTTGCCCGCGCTGTTCACGTGTGACGCGTCGTCTCCGCCAGCTGGAGGATGCCGAGTTCGCGCAGGGCGCGGCGGTGAAGGCGCGCCAGTCGCTGGCGCAGGAGCTACAGGACACGCAGACCCTGCTGGAGGAGGCGCAGCGCGCGCGCACCGACAGCGAGACGCGCTACCTGACCGCCAGCCGCGAGCTGCACCAGCTGCAGGGCCAGGTGGACGAGCAGGAGGAGGAGCTGCAGGAGGTGAGTCACGTGGGCAGCCGGCTGGGTGTCACCGGCGAGAGGGGCGCAGATGGCCGTTTGCTCGCGTGTTGGCTTTGCGGGGCTGTGGTTTTCATAGCGGTTTGTGGCGAACCTTCGGGACGAGTAGAAAGACTGAAGGGTGGCAGGCAATGCTGCGTCACAGGCCGTCTGTATGCACTACACTAGAGCAGTGCATCGAGATATACCCTGTGATGGGCGTTATGAGAACCCTGCAGTGGAGTATCGCGCCTTTCGTGCGTGAGTCAGGGTGAGCGCTGAGCGCGCCTACTGACGGCGCGATAGCCGAAGACCGTCGTACAGGTGTGACGTCACCTCGGTGACGTCATGCGTCGGGCCGGCCGCTCCGCCGTCTGACCGGCCATGGGCCTTCACCAGGTGATGAAGAAGTACAAGGCGGCCGTGGCGCAGCTGAGCGTCGACCAGCTGACGCTGCAGGACCAGGCGAGCCAGCTGACCGAGCTGGAGGCCGAGCGCGCCCTGTTGCGCGAGCAGCTGGCCGAGAAGGCCAGCCGGCTGGACGCGCTGGAGGGCGAGACGGCCTCGGCGCACGACCAGCGCCGGCTGGAGCTGCGCGTGCGCGAGCTGGAGAGCCGCTGCGAGTACGAGCAGACCACCAAGCAGCGGCTGGAGACGCAGCTGGCGCGGCTGAAGGAGGCCATCGAGAAGGCCGGCGGCGAGGCGGACCAGGCGCGCCAGCGCGAACAGGTGGCCGCCGACAACCTGCGCAAGCTGCAGCGACAGGTGAGGGCTGCGGCTGGCGGCGAGAGACTGCCTGAGCGACATGTGACGGCTGCAGCTGGGTAGGTGGGGACGGGGACTGTCGGAGCGACGGCTGAGGGCGATTGGAGATGTTGGGAGACGGGTGAAATGACAGGCGAGGGGCAGTCCGGCCACCGCTCAAGCGGCGGTCAAACGGTACCCTTGGTGCGTAGTGACGGCAGCTGCCTGATGTGAGAGCCAATTTGGTGGCAGGTGGGGCACGGTGACCGATCGTTCAGACGTGGGTTGTGAATGGCGCCGTGGTGCTACACAAACGGCGTGTGATTTCCCTCCGTGGTGTGTTTTATCGTGAAATATGTGATGGCGGCCTGGTTCCATGTTTGTGTCAGCGTTTTGTGATAAGGACCATCGTTTGTGGTGATTGAGAGTGCATCTTGGAACGTCCGCATACTTGTACCCCGGGCCTGCACCAAGCGGTCTCCGTTGCTCACGCCATCGACTCCCGTGCGCTCGCACGGCCACCACGGTGACAGTTGCCGGTCATGACCCGTCTGTCATGCCTCTGTCTGACGCCGCCCGCGTTCCGCCAGCTGCGCGAAAGCAAGGACGAGCTGTCGGAGGCGCAGCGGAAGGAGTCGGACGCCGTGCTGCAGGCCCGCTCGCTGGCCAAGGAGCTGGAGACGGCTGAGGCCGAGGCTTCCCAGGCGCGCGGCGACCTCAAGCTCGCCTTCAAACGCATCGGCGACCTGCAGAACGCCATGCAGGTGCGGACGGCCGCCGGGAAGCGGTTGATGGAGATGGCGGTGGGGTGCTTGCGTGCTGGTTGCTGTTGGGTTGGGAATTGTGGAAATTACGGAAGGCGCTGGGAATGTGGTTGAAAGTGTGACGGTGGTATGCCTTAGGCCACAGATGGCTCTGAGTGTCGTTATTTTACGTTTTGGTGTGAGAGCTACGTGCGATTACCCAATATGTAGACTCAATGTCTCGTCGAGTTGGCTAATCTACCGTCTTCAGGAGCTGGCATTGTCGCTCGATGCACGTGGCAGCGTTCACCGGTGGCCTGTCTGAGCGTGTGCCGCGCGGCCCACGTGACCCGTGACCGGTGACCTGACGTGACCCCCGGCGCTCGGCCGCAGGGTGACCTGGACAGCGAGCCGAGCGACTCGGATGCCGGCTCGGACTCGGACGAGGACCTGGACAGCTTCCTGTCGGCGCACATGCCCGGCGGCCAGGCGGGCCGCGCCGCCGCCAGCAACGGCACGCCGCTCAAGATCGACCTGGATAGAAGGTGAGGGCACGGCGGGCCAACACATCGGGGCCGAGGACACGTGGGAGCGGGAGGTGGTCAGGAAAGTCGATTTGTCGGCAGCATATAGTTAGCTTTCTTTGTTATGGTCTGCCCACTTGAAGCGTTTGCTTTATCCCACGCTCAAGAGCGTGTGAATTGCAAAAGGAAGGCACTGAGCCACTGGGCATTGTGACGCGACGTTGGAGTCTTACGTTCGCGTGCTGGTGCTGCGCCGGCCTCCGCTGACCGTGCTCGTGTCCCAGCAGGTCGGCCGGCTCGGTGTCGTCCCCCCTGTCGCCGCTGTCGGTCAGCTCAGACCCGGATCTGCGGCCGCGGCTGAACGGCGCGCGAGAGTCGGACGCGTGACGCGCCGGCCGCCGCCACTGAACACGGCCGCCACCCGGCCACCGCCACATGCATTACTGTGATACCCCTGTGCGGGAAAGTTTACCTCGTCCTTAGAGTGGACTCGGCCGGGCGGCGCTGTCGCAGTAATGCATGGGCCGGTCCATGGGTAGCCGCGAGGGGAGGTCTCCCGAGCTGAGCTGTGATGAGCTGCCTTGCGGGGCGCGCGCGCCGCCGACGGCGCGGCTGGTTCTGTCGATTGTTTTGTCGAGTTCGCTTGTACAAACCCACGGCCGCGGCACGCGGCCGTGGTGCGTGTGTAGGCCCACACTAACACAGCCCATGATTGTACGCCCCCTCACTTATTTCCTTGATCCTCAGGCAACCGCACCGTCACGCTTCGAAAGTTTGGGCGCACGCCGAGCGCGCCCACGAGCCATGTCGTTGCTTCCGATCCCCCAGTTATTTATTTATGTCGTGTTGCCAGTCCCGTAGCATGGCTGAAATCAGCCGAGTGTGATTTCTTCGCGTCTTCGTGCGCTCCTGCCGCTACTGCATAATCAAAATCCAGGTGTTCTCAAGGAGATAGTGGCTTGCCATTGGCTTGTGCTGAGGCCGTGGGCTGCAACGCACGTTTTCTCTCCTCTTTTTGAAGCAAAGAGTCGAGATCGAGAACAGGAATGCCTGTCACTGATACCACTGATTGCGCTTGCGCTTTTCGAAGAATGAAATGTACTGATCAATGTGTTGGAATGCCTGTGTTTGTGAGTGTTCTGTATACATATGCGTGTAAAGAATGCCTCACCAATCGTAACGCATTGTGTATGCCTACAGTTATGGCTGTATATCATTGACGTGAACCGAATATTATAATAATGGGATATGACATGAAAATATATACCTGATTCATACTGATGTGTTATGGCCTAAATGGCCGGGATGCCGAGGATGAGTGGCGAGCGTAGTCGAATATTTCGAATTTAGTTGAGTGCGACGAGACCGGCACAGTTTGCACGGAAACTGCGAAATCTGGCAGGCTGGGCGTGAAAGGCGAACTCCCGATTCAGGAAGCTTAAGAACGTTTCCTGAACTAGCGCCAACCAGCTCACAGTACTAGACTTCGAGTTGTTCGGGGGCGTTCAGGAACGCATGGGTGTGGGCGGACGAATACGTGCGATGTCCTCTATCCGGGCCCGTCATCACGCGTTTAGCGATGATTTTGCGTCAAGTGTGAACCGGAGACAGAATTCCCACGTCATGTCGTTTAGTGGCTCGCCATCGAGCCATTCCGACTGCACGGATAGAGTGCGTGCTGTGGACGACGGGGCAGCATCAGCATGAACCTTTGTTCAGGATCGACGCCTAAGGATCGTAGCTGTTGGCGTGCCCATTTATGATCTTAAGCGCAGTAATAATTTTTTACATCTTCCCTTGAACGTTTTAAACAGATGTGAGGCCCAGCCTGTTCAGTATCTGATAACTCCGTTCCTTCGTAGAATGGGGAGTTCTGTGCAGGGTGCACTGGGCTCTGCTTATTGCTGGTGCAACTTATCCATTATCGGGAGCTCAGATGTGCTTGAAATAGCTTCCTTCAATGCATCAGTCAGGCTTTATGCTAAATTCGACCAAATATTGGGGCGTGACAATTCTTCCCGTCACAGAACTGAAGTCTCCACCCAAACGCTTCTGCTATTAGGGTACTGGACACCTACCGGTCTATATGCAAACTATTTCATCGATCAGCTGGCGAAAACTACAATTGCGGCGCGCTGTAGTCTTGAGCTGTGCATTTGTGCCGAGCGTTCGAGGGATGGGCTCATGACCGGCGACGGTCTATCTTACAATTTGATAATTCCGTTCGTTAAGTCCTTAGGCTCAGGGGTTGCCCCCTTGTCCCTTAGCTTTGTTGGGTTAAGTGCCCGATAATTAGCAATATGGACAAAAGGAAGCTGTCGTAAGTATTCGTTCGAATCTTACCTGGCTTAACGAGGATCCTGGACATGTCGAGCGATGATGCTGGGCCTCAATTAGTTGTTTGCCGGATAAGGTCCTCTCGTTTTTTTATTATTAGACATTGCTTCCAGATATTGCAACTCATTGTGGCTTTATGCAGTCATGTCGGTTGACCAGGAGTCTGGCACTGATTTGGCTTTGCTGAGCCTGTGTGTGGTTAATGTTTTCTTTTTCATTAATGTATTGATGTAAGCTCAGGATAATTTGGGAACAACAGATGTGTTGTGCTGGGTAAGCAGGTACTTAAAGGAATCCTTGGCTTAGGCAGCTGCAGATTGGGATTTGTTCTCAAAGTGTAACCTTCCTTTTCTACTTAGGATGGTATGCCTAAATGTAAGGTTATGCAAGGAATGGCCCAAAGCAGGCACAACAAATTTTCAAAGACTGCTATTTAGTGAATTTGACACATAGTGTTTTTTTTAGTTTCACTTCTAGTCACCATGAAATATGTATTTAAGTCAAACAAGGCCTATCCCAATCTTAATGCCTGCATACCTCAAGTAAAAAGGCTATTGACAGGTACAGGATTATATTCAATGTTTATCACTGCTGTTGAACAATTTTTGTGGAAGCCAAGCTTGAGGATTAAAAAATGATCTAGACAAATGTTTCTCATTTGTAAAAGTTTCAATGTTGATATTTTAAAGTTTTAATTATGTTTTAAATCATGCTGGTCTTCAAACCCTAAAATGTTTTATTGTGGGTTTGGCATTTCAGGAAGTTGAAACTATTTTCTTCCTTATCAATGTATTCCCTCTCAGTCAATCCAAAGCAAGAGATTTATGTCACAACAACACCACACAAATTGTACCTGCCAGAATGATCATTTCACTTCTGAACCATGATTATTAATAGCTTCATGCTATGATCATTGATTAAGGGATATGGTGCTTTATCTGGTGCCAGGCTACCCAGTGTGTAGACATTCTGTGTATGCTAGTATGGATTCATTATGATGTGGATATAATTATGTGTATGACATGAACTTGCATGGTCTTTGAGGTTTTGAAATGTTGATTTCTCTCATAATTGGTAAGGTATGCATTGTGTGTACCATACACTTTTGTTACCTTATAGCTGTCATGTACCTTTGTCAGCAATTATTCCTCTTGCATATATCTTGTGGTGTAGTCATGTTACACCAAGAGTACCTCTTAAGCTTTTTACATGCGTTCTCATTTTGTTACATACCAATAGAGCTGTTTGTCTTTGTAATATGATGTTTGATGTTTTGTATTGATTACAGTCATGCTAAAATTATTCCTCAAGTATGCCAGTTTCTGCCAGTTTTGGTATCAGTGGTTCCTACCAGCCAGTTTGTGAAAGATAGATCACCTTGCAGAAACAGCTTCTGCCATCATATACCAACCCTGGTTTCATCAGGCCAAACATTTGGTCCTTATTCGGCCCATGAAAGGCATTGTTTGAGCCTGCCATGGCATTGGGGTTAGCTTAGTAGAGTACTTTTGCATGTGCTCAAGGACATGCATGCAAAATTACTTGACATATATGTACAAATATATATATATATATATATATATATATATATATATATATATATATATATATGATGTCATTACATCTAGTGATTTGTGACTTGTGATGAAGAGCAATTTTTGCCACTAGCAGGTGCTGTCATGTTTTCAGAACACAGGGGGACTCCTTGTATGAACTCCTAGGCTTACCCAAAACAGCCACCCAGGAGGAAATCAAGAAGACATATAGGAGACTGGCCCTGAAGTATCATCCTGACAAAAATCCAGACAATCCAGAAGCAGCTGAAAAGGTGACATCTTTTGTCATTTTAACATGTGTTCACTGTGTCTATTTCACTATTTCACTGTGTATGAACTGGCAAGTGCTAGTTGGTAGGAAAGGCAAGGCTTCCATGCCTGGTCAGCTAGTGGTGGCAGTCAACTAATTAGTGCTATCGACCAAACATCCCATATGATCATAAACAGATGGGTAATATCTCATGATGAGCTGAACCCTCAGTGTCCATCGCTGCTGTCTTGTCACGCTCCCACGTGATCATCGATCCTCGGGTGACCCGGTATGCAGCAGTCAGGCCGAGTCTTGACCCGCCATTGCGTTCCAGTTCAAAGACATCAACCGGGCGCACGCCACGCTCAGCGACTCGATCAAACGCAACATCTACGACAACTACGGCTCCCTCGGCTTGTACATCGCCGAGCAGTTCGGCGAGGAGAACGTCAACACCTACTTCCTGGTGACGTCCGGCTGGTGCCGCGCGCTCTTCATCTTCTGCGGCGTCATCACCGGCTGCTACCTCTGCTGCTGCTTCTGCTGCTGCTGCAACTTCTGCTGCGGGAAGTGTCGGCCGGCCGCGCCCGACGAGTCCGGCGCCTACCACAACCTCAACGTGAGTGGCATGTTGTCCCCCCTCGCTTGTCCCGATACGCTGTGGCGCACCGTCCGGCGCGGGTGCGACCTTGGTGTGGGAAGCGGCGGCGCGGTTCTCGGAGATCGGGCGGTCTCCGTTTGAAGCTGTGAAAGGCTCTGAAATCCTTGCCGTGTCCTCCGAGCTTGTTAAGTCTTAGCCCACGCATAGACTCGTTTGGTCAGTCGTGTGGTATTATTGGCGGGCGGTGTTGTGTGTTCTTATGAAGGTCGATGTCATTGGCGAATGGCGGGATTTAGGTTTTCTTGGATTTAGATCCTGTCTCCGTCAGTCACAAGTGATTAACTTCCTATCGAGGTAACATGTCTTGCTTACAAACTGCTATGCGTAACCAGAGGCACGTGAGGCCGAAACCATATGGTTGCTGCTTTAAGAGGCGGTAACGGTTGGAAGATCGTAGATCATTGAAGTTGAATGTGCCCCATCCCTGGAGGCGCTTACGTCACCGTTTAACGTTACGGCCAGCGTGCGGCTCCACAGGTAAACTGGCCAGCCGGGTCTCTGGCGCTGCACGTTCATATAATGTCCTCTGGTGCACGCTTCCCCTGGCCGGCCGTGCTTTAGTCGTCGTCGACCCCCTCCCCTCCCGCCTGGCATTTTAGACGTGGCAAGCATCCCTCCCCGTGTTTACATGCGTGCCTGTGCATCCGCGTTTCGTGCACAGATTTTGTGCGTAGTCGAGCCCGCCCCGCCTGCCGCACCGTTTCCGTTTGGCCCCGCACGCGGTGGCGTGTGTGCCCGGCGCCGTCGGAGCGCTGGCCGGCCTCGCCGCGGCCCGCGCGCGGCTCGCATGAGCCGGTCCGCAGCGTGCGGCGCGCCCCTGAGCACGCCACCTGTGCCGCCAGCCCGACGACCCTGCAGTGGTGACCTCCCAGCCGACCTCGGCTGGGCCCGTCCGCGGCGAGGTAGGTCACGGTGGCGCGGGGCGCCGGTCGGCGGAGGCGCCTCCGCTGGACTGGACAAGAGCCGCCCGCCCGAGGCAGTGTGGGACGCGTTGTGGCTCCGCGTGTAGATGAGTTCAGAGGGCGAGGCTGGCATTCAGTTTGCATGTTTTGGTTTCCTTTGATTCGGCTGCCTGTGCATGGTTTTCGGACGTTGCGTCGTAGATGCCACCGGCGCTCGCTCTGGTGGCCGTAGTCGCCTGCACTGATCGCGTCACGGCTGGCATTCTTGTTTCCGGCCGCCGGGACGCCGATGGTCGTGACTGTGGCGTGGGGTGACTATGCCGCTCGGTGGTGCCGCCAGGGAGACGGCGACGAGGAGTTCGACCTGGAGGCGGGCAGTCCGGAGCGCGAGGCAGCCGCCGGCGCCGGCGAGCCGGTCACCAGCCAGCCGCAGGCGTTCGCCATGCCGCCGCCGCCGTCGGCCAACCAGAGTCAGCCGCACCAGTCCGCCAACCCTAACAACCCGTTCGCCATGGCGGCGCCGGCGCCAGCTCCGGCGGCCGAGGCCACCACAGGTCAGGCCCGGGGGCGCGCTGCTCGGGTCGGCGCGAATGATGGCGGGACATGCCGTCGGGGCGGACAGGGGAGGCCACCACATGCCAGGCCCGGGGGCGCGCTGCTCGGGTCGGCGGTGGCCAGCACGAGTGATGGCGGGACGTGCCGTCGGAGCGGTGAGGGGGATGGGCGCCGCAGGTCTTCGGGAATATGGGCTACCAGACGGCCTGGCACACGTCTGGCCAGATATGGCCGTCGTTTGGCCAAGCGCAGCTTACACGCCGTCTGAAATAGCGAGGACGGGCTGGCGATCAGCTGGCTGATGCTGCCACCACAGCTGCGACGAGCGCTGCGTAGTTGATTGGTGACTGAAAAACGTCGTCGTGACCGTTGAACAACGGCTCAATCTGGCATGTGACAAGAAAATTATCACTTAATTCGGTCATCAGGAGACCAGAGTCCGGCCGTCAGCCGTGCCCCAAGGCTTTCAGTACCGGACGGATCGTAATCTGGTGTTACTGCGTTTTTCTTTAGTGTTTTTGTCAGCGCTTTCGTGCTTATTGACGCAGTGAATACTTCTAAGTGCTAAGTCGTATCAGCGTCGTCTTTGTTACAGCCCGTTGGTGTCTCTGACAGACCCCTCCGTCCCCTTCCAGGCTACGGGCTGCAGTAGCTGTCCGTTGCGCGGCGCTAGTGTCGGACAGGACCGCCGTCGTCGACGCCGGCCTCGCCGACAGTGCCGGACTGATTCCGACGTAGGCCGGCGTTCGCGTCGCACCGCGGCTGGATAGAGGTCGCGAACCCGTGCCTAGGTCAAGCACCCGAAAATGCCGAGGATCCAAAACAAGCACCTATCGAGAATCTTGCCGGCTGCGTGACCTGTCAGTCAGGTGGCGCCGGTGGACGGGTCCGCTGTGCCGGACTGGTTGCACTGGCCTGATGACGTGGGACTGACCCGCGCCTTCACTCAGCCTGCGCCATGTTGGGATCCGGAATTCCGCGTGCATGCCTTCTTCCGGTGCACGTTATGTTCGGTGGGGTCTCGAGATACACGCTTAGAGGCATTGTCCGGTGCCGCTTCAAATTCAGCAGCCGAATGGTCGTCTCGTCGTCGGCTGGCAGAAACAGTCCGGCATGCCTGGCCTCCGGGGGAGTCGGTGCCGCGGCGGCTGCCCGGTGTGGGGCCTCGGCCGGTGCCCCGCAGCGCGTGTCGACCTTGGAAGCATCCTCGGCGACCCGTCCCCGGCTGGTGGAACTCGCCGACCGGGGGCCGCTCTGCCGCCAGGCGGCGGTCGCGTCAGTATTACCCCTCGACGGGGACGCGTGGAGGCGGGCCGGCGCGCGCAGGACTGAGGCGGTCGGCGCGGGAAGAGCCCGCCGCCGACCTCTAGTCATGCTGGCCAGTCTCGTCGCCAGCAGGGAAGGGAAGGGGGGTGGCTGTCCCTGGTCTCGCCCTCGTGGATAGAATCGCCGCGTGTGATGTTGGTGCACTCGCAATATAGGCGCCGGGGGAGGCGCTCGCTGAACGTGGTTCTAATCAGCGGTCGGTCCGCGATGTACATACTAGCGGGCGTTCACTTTGCCGTCTGCACATCGATGGTGCAGCAGTGATGAGTGGGTGTGGCACCTGGCCAACACACCTCTAGTCTCCTGTGTTCTAATTGGTTTGCTGTACCCGCCTGTTAGACTTTTGTCAGTGCCGGCGCTACCAGTGTGTGTTGTGCCGTGTGTGGGTGTTACGGAGCTAACTTAGCTATAGGTGTGACCTCTGAGTCTGTCGATCTTCAGACATTCCCTTTATCGCGCCTCGCCATATCTTGAGCCTTCCCTCGCCTTCATGTGGTCCAGTGAGTGCGTCCCTTATCTCACTTTATCTCAACATTCCTGCCACCGTCGAGTACTGAGCAAATGCCTATCGAACAACTATCAAGCCTTGGTTTGTCAGAAAGTGCTCAGATGTGGCGCCGCGCAGTCTCGCGCGCTCGATGACGCATGTGATAATTTCGATTCGTCGATTTCTAGTTGATTTTTTTGCGCCGGTCGGTAGGAGCGCGTTTGTGCGGGTAGTGAGGACCGGTTCGCTGTTCGCCGAGGCCGAGGCGCTCGCTCGCCACGTGCCGAGGGTGGTCGTGGTGATGTGGCCTCGTATCGTCCGTCAATTCTAGCGTTTGTACGCAAACACGCGCTCCATGGCTATAAATATATATGATAAGGAACGCGTCGGATGTTTTTCCTCCCGCCCGCCTTTGGAAAGCTCGGCATGACGAACGTTCATTTGTTTCTCAGTACGCTTGGTGCTCAATTCGCTCATTGGATTCTCACAGTAGCCGTGGGATGTGCCAGCTTCGCACGGCGTCGTCGCATCCGCGTAGAAGGGACCAACGCAAATGTAGTCTGTACAGACAGCTGCCGTCTTATCGCTTTGGCTGCGACTGCGTTGGTCAGGAATCCTGCGCCGTTGCATATTACTAAGTGTCAGGTAGCGGTTTGAGGTCCAGTTGGTTCAAACAGAGCAAGCACGGGCCTTTGAAAGGCCTTGAGCCTTTGTGAGGAAGCGTCGGTATGTGGAGCAATACATCAGCAGCATGCTGGGGGTCGTGCTGCGGCTGGCCGTCAGACAGAAGGTAGCGTCACTGCAGCTGATAGGGCAGTGCTTGTGCGACCTCCAGGTACCTGCTGGAGGCCGTGCTGCGGCTAGCCGTCGGCGGAGAAGAATGCCATGTCACTGCAGCTGACTCACATGCTACTGGCGATGACGTCACGACCCTCGCCAGTCGTTCCGCGGGCAGCGTCATAAGCGCCATAGGACCAGGACAGTCGGCGCGTTCTAAAGCCCGCATAAACACCGTGTCCAGCGGAAATTTGAGCTTTTTCGATCCCCTCCCCGGAGCCGCGTCGAAAGGCTGCAGATGGCGTCACGCGTCGCATTCCCCCCACCAGCTGCGGACGAGGTCGCCCGCACGAGCCCTGGGCCATCGGACGGCCGCATTCGTGCTGCTCCTCGCTCACACGGCAGCCGCCGGCAGGACTCGAGCGTGCCCGGTCTACCGAGCTGCCTCCCGGAGGGGAAGTGCCGGCCCACCACCGCCCAGAAGGCGGATGGCTCGCGGTGGTGAACACTGGATATATTTGGGTAGCAGGCTGGCCGCTGCCTGCTCCTGCACTGGGTCGGGTCGGCTCGGTGGTCCCGTCCCGAACAGCGCGTCTGAAATGCCACGTGGTTGGCGGGGACTCTGCAGAACACAATGTCACGTTATCATCGACGGCTGTCGGGGCGGATGGTGTGCGCTCCTGACAGCGTTGCTGTGCTGTGTCTCAGTGACAAGTTTGGTGAGGATGGTCCGCGCTCCTGACAGCGTGCTGTGCTGTGCCTCAGTGACAGGTCTGCTGAGGATGGTCCGCACTCCTGACAGCGTGCTGCGCTGTGTTTCGGCAACTGGTTCGGCACGGGTGGTGTGCGCCATTGAGAGCGTGCTGTGCTGTGTCTCAGTGACAGGTCTGGTGAGGATGATGTGCGCTTATCGTAGCTTACACAGACCTTCCCTCCGTCCTCTCCTTGTTAGCCTGTTGTTTGATTCGCCAAACCTTTGCGTTTAAGACGATTTTTTCCACACCGTCCCGCTCCCGGAAAGGCTGCGTACTTCTGCCCCAATTCTCCCAGACTCGTGGTTGACAACCGCGTGGAGCCGAAATCGACTCCGGAAGCGTCTGAAGTTTTGTGGAGTCGAATAGATCGGGTTTCTCCGGAAAAAGGTCATGAATCAAAGTTGGAGTTTGACTCAGCTTAACCACCAATGAATTTATACAACCAGATATGCGAGGAACAGCGTACGCAATTGGCTCCTATGGATCGGGATTCTGAACCTCGTCTTCCCGAGTCGCAATCGCAGCTGAACCACAACTTGTGTTTTTGCTGAACGGAGTCGAAGTCAGAATCTACTCTAGGTGAATTATGGCACGAGAACATCGAAAATGACTTTTAATATCCTGTGACATTCGAGATCAACAGCTGGGTCAAAGGATGGGGAAACGATGTCACCAAAAAAATTACCGGCCAATTTGAAAACTGTAAGCATCAAACTATTCACAAGCGCAAGAGCTAGCGTCCGTCAAACAGTCCTGACCTCTCAAAGTGACCGTCAATGTCAAAACGCGGGCTCATAGGACGGGGGAACTCAACATCACCCAAAATTTGGCGGCCGATTTTTACTTGCAAACACCAGAATATTCGACACAGAAAAAACTAGTGCCTGTTAGTATCACAAAGTAGTGTCACCTGTAGTGTCACAAAGTAGCGGCCTCTCAATGTCATTCCTCAAGGTCAAAATCAGGCTCAAAGGGCCCGGAACTCGATATCACCCAAAAATTACCGTCCGATTTTAAACTTGCCAGAGCCAGAGCATTCACTACAGACAGCAATAGCGTCCGTCAAAAAGCCCTGGCCTCTCAAAGTGACCTTTTAAGGTCAAACGCGGGCTCAAAGGAGGGGGAACTTGGTATCACCCAAAAATTGTTGGCCGGGTTTTAACTTGCCAGAACTAGAATATTTAGAAGCGCAAAAACTAGCGTCTGTCGAAACGTCTTGACCTCCAAATTCATCATTCAAGGTCAAACACGAGCTCAAAGGATAGGGAACGTAACGGAGATTGTCCAAAATTACAGGCTAATTTTAAACTTCCAAACATCAAAAAATTCACCACAGAAAGAACTAGCGTCCGTCGAAAAGTGTTCTGACCTCTTAAGGTGACCCTGCAACGGTCAGATGCGGGCTCAAAGGACCGGGAATTCAACATCACCCCACAAATTAGCGGCCCGATTAACTCGCCAGCAAACAGAATATCTACAACAGAAAGGACTAGCGTCCCATTGAAAAATCCTGACCCCTCAAGGAGATCTTTCAAGGTCAAAACGCGGGCCCAAAGGACGGGAACTAGTAATTTTCGGCTGGTAATTGTGAGTGATATGGAATTCCTCGCCCTTTGAGTCTGCATTTGACCTTAAGGATGGCCTTGACAGGTGACTACTTTTTGACGGAGGTTAGTTGTTCTCGGTGTCGAATATTTGATTTTTGCAAGTTTAAACCGGCCGGTACTTTTGGGGTGGCATTAAGTTCCCCGTCCTCTGAGCCCGCGTTTGACCTTGAAGGGCGACCTTGAAAGGTCATACCTTTTGACGGACGCTGTCTCTCGTGCTTGTGAATATTATGATGCCTGCAGTTTTCAAATCGGCCGGTAATTTTTGGATGGTATCGAGCTCCCTGTCCTTCGACCTGGCCTTTGACTTCGATATTCACATGGTATTGAAAAATTAAGTTTATTTTCGATGTTGTCGTGCCATGGTTCACCTCGAAACCTTTTTTTCAGCGAAGTTGGAACTCGTCGCTGAATAAATCGCTGAATAACTTCCTAACTTCACGGACATCATGCTATTTAGGGTAGGGGTGTAATCTGTCCCGCTGCTGCGGTAGCAGACCGATGGTGCACGCGCGGTAACGGCTATCATGTGGCCTGTCCTGGTTTCTTTTCAGTACAACTATGCCTTTGCAGCATTGGTTTCTGCTTGTTCTGCCTCGCCGAGGAGCACTGGGTGGCACTGCTGCGTTTGAGAGGTCTTATCGTGCAAAGCCACGTGTTGTGCAATCGAGAGACAGCCATCGAGCAGAGGAGCATTCACACAGAGTCGATGAGGGTAAATGTGCTATTTTAGATAGGCACGCACGCAACATAACCTCACTCACCGTTCTCGTCAG